TATCTAATCTAAATCTCAACAAAGTAAAATTTAAACAAAAGAGTAAGTAATGCAAGCAAGCATGTATCTCTAAGCGTAATATTGTTATGATATGGTGATATTGGAACACAAAAAGGATATCACCAGTAGCCATGGGTTAGGTCTTAGTATAATTGCCCAAAACCGATTCGATCAAAATACACTTACATAACATACACAAACCATGGGGAGAAGATCTAGTTTTATTTCAGGAATTTCCAAGTCAATACTCAATACACAAACATGGGGAGAAGACTAGTTTACTTCAGGATTTCCAGTCAAAACTCAATAGTTACAACTTACAAACGTCATATGTGCTTAGATGAATATGCTTAAACATGAAATCAAAATGGTTTTTCAAACACCTGTTGTATTCCATTGTTAATCAATATCTCCCTTCCTTCCCTGCAAAAGTTAGGCATAAACAATTCAACAAGAAAATGACTACCTTACATCTATCTGGATAGATTTCACAGCTCCCTTTATATCACTAATTGAAGATATGCAGAATTCTGGTGATAAGGACACTGTCTTACATCTACAACCCCAAATAAACAGACTCCTCTCAAGAATGAATTTTTCATCTTCACATAGCAACTAAAATTACATTAAACTCTTCGACCAAACTTCACAAATTATCTTCTACATGTTCAGTCTCCGTGATCCTCATGAACAAACTTCAATTGTTTTTCATGAATAACCTAGTCAACCATAGATAATATATATAAAAAAACAAACCTTATGCCGGATTCTAATGCACTGTGGCCACTCAAGTACAATCAGCGTAACTCTCCTTTAATTATACTCACGCTAATAACTTCTGACCCATAACAGGTTCGGTTCTTATGCAGAAAAATGTAGTAATGCTAATCTACAACCCTTTTACTCATTTTCTACTCATATGTTAATCTCCCTTTTTACTCCCTCTCTCTCTCTTGATACCCCACCTACCAATGAGTGAGGTAAGAGAGGAAATGAGTAAAAGGGTGGAGTAAGAGTAGCACATTACTCCAGGGAAAAAATACCACAATTCCTATGCAACAAAGATGATGGTTACCAGAGGAAGACATGCATCAATTCAAAACCATAAAATCCATTAAAAAACTACCTTACTTTGAGTAATAAATCAACCACACCCATCACATAAGAGAAAAGAAATAAACATTGAACACATTCCGATAACAAATGATTAAGAGAGGGCATTAGAAAAAGCAACTTGAACATCTCACATGAGACAGTAGATTAGTTAAGGTCAAAAGCCAAACTCGAAAAAAAAAAAATACAATAAATCTCAAAAGATTAATCTCTCAGTAGCTCCAAAAAATAAAACAAACTCAGTCTGCAATTAAAACTAATAAGACTTAACAAAATCAAATGCTTAAAATAAATCATCATTTAGAACCCCTAGTTTGGTACGGCGCCAGTGCCCTACGCTTCGCATTATACACTGCAACAAAAACAAACAAAACACAACCCATTCAACTAAAATGCTGTCAACTCCAAAACAAAACAAACAAACGCATCAATTAAAATGCTTTCAACTCACAAAACTCAAAAAAGAAAAAAAAAAATGAAAAAATGCTGAGAAATAATAATACTGATAGTGTTGTTGTGACGACATACGGATCACAGTGAGGGATGGGCCTGTTCTGTCTCATCTTCTTCGCCAGCTTTCTTTGATGATGAACGTCTTGTGTGACGGCTACCACATAAAAACTCAAGTCAAACAACTTCATTTGTGAAAAATATAATATTATATATAATTATATATAATAAAAAACTAGAGCTTAGGATGGCAAAAAACTACATACTAAAGAACTAAAACGGTTTTACCCATTTTCCCTTGTGGAGCTTCCGGGAGACCCGAGGTTGACGAAGCTGAAGCTGCTGCTGATGGCGAAAAATAAAAACCCTAGTTCGAGACGGTGAGGTCAGTTTTATATAGTACAGTCATTTCAGCGTAAGCAATGAGTTGGGCTTGTGTTATAATATGGGCCTTTTTGGTAGGATTATTAGAGAGCCTTTTTGATGACAGTTGGGCCGTAATTCTCTTGGCCTTGGAATCATATGGACCAATATGTTGAGGTCATCTAAGATCAAAAGTCAATGCTAACATAAGTTTACTCTAGCCACCCTGCGTGGGCGGATGGGACGATAAAAACTTTTGGGTATATTATTCAAGAGATCTTGAAGAAATCAGTAGTTAATAGGGGTGGTCACTGAAGGGTTTACCTGGTTATTAACTTCGAGACCCTATAAGGGACTAATCAAGGTACATGCAAATGGCCTAAATACACCAGGTCACCAAAAAAAAAAAAAAAAAAGTTTACTCTATAGTGGATCAAAGACTGACCAAATCAATATTATGAGATGCATTTATCTATATGTTACCTTTTTCGGATTTATCTTTAATTTTCTTATATTTTATAAAATATCAATAATATTTTAGGATTTGGTTTTATATTATACTTTTTCTTAGTATTACTTTCATCATAGTTTAAAGTTTATCCTTACCCTTATTATTATGCAATTGCAAAATCGGGAAAAAAAGTTTGAAGGGGCTAAACATATTTAACGAATCAGGGAAATCAAAGTATAGAAGTTTATTTAGAAAAAAAAAAAAAATTGCATTTAATGGGAATAGATGATTGAGTTTAGGAAATAAAGGCCAAAGTTAGAAATAATTAAAAAAATATGAAAAAAATATTTTTACATACAAAAACTTTTGTAAACCCAACGCCGGCTAAAAGCTTAAGGGGGCAGTCCGACACTTTTATCATATCCAAATAATAACTCATGTTAAGTTACCACTTGACATAACCTTAAAAGCTTAAGTTAGTCAACTAGGAATATTAATTAATATGTAAGTCTAATGTTAGAAAATCCTAACAGTAATTATGATTTAGTTTGATAAAACTGGATAAACACATAATCCAATGAGATATCATAATGGGTTTGTATGATCATTCCAGAATTTGTCTGATACACTTTATTTTATATAATCTAGGTTGATGACAAGTGTGGGTTTGAGCCTGTAATAGGTTTTAAAGTTTATTGGACCTTTAATGAAAAGACCCAATAAATTAATATAAATTGGCTAGGTCATCTTTTTAAAATGCGATTATAAACTGAATCCCATTTGGAAGTCGAGATTCTGGAGCGAATTCAAGAAATTCAGAAACCATAACAGAATCAGGTTTTTCTAATATTTAATCTTTAAGTTTAGTATTCTATAATCAATATGCAGATCTTGTAATTAATTGTTAGAATCGAGTGAAATTCATGTTAGAATTCCTACAAATAACTTATATTAGAGGTTGGTACAATACTTAAAAATGAATAAAAAATATCGTATGATTCAAAAATAACAAAATGAACGAAATGAATTTAGCCATAAAGAAGCTGGAAATTTGTCCAAGGAGCACTTCAATTATTTACGTAACAATTTCAGGAATTGTAGCTAGATGAATTGAAGAGGTTTTTGGCACAATAATGTGCTCCTCGGAGAGTGGCTTTGAAATAAAGTAATAAAACTATGGACAGGTAGGTTGGTTGGAATTAGTCTACTGTTGTATTGTTAGAGGTCCTGTTTGATTATTTATTATTAAGGGCAGGTTTTGTTTTATCTATGTGGTGAATAATTTTGAACAGTGTTTTTGTTGTTTTTGAGTCATTTATGTGAGGAACCATTTTTATATAATTGTAGTTGTTGGTTAAATTTAATAATAAATATTGTTTTCAATTGAATCATTGGGAACAATTGTGTTAATTATTTTGTTGAATTTCTTAGAATTGTAATTGTTGTTGATCATTCCTTTTTAAATTATGATTTGAAACTGTATGATCAATTGTAAGGCAGAATTATCAACAATTATTTTATTACTATTGACTAATTTATGTGGCGAACAATTTTCTTTTTATTTCAGTTGTTGCTGAACATTTGCATTAACTTAAATCTGCGCCGGGGTTTTAGGTAAAAAGGAAATATGATTTTTATCTTAATACCGTCTATTAACCTATTATCCAGAAATTCTGTTTCGGATAATTGAACACCATTATAGGTGTATTTAACATGGATTTCTTTTTTCCAATCCTTTAAATCTTGGGACCACTCGGGCAATTCAAATAATAGTATGACAACGAGATTTTTAGTTATTACCAATGAAGGTAATATAATATATTTTCTGAAAATCGATTGAGTTAATAATAAAAACCCTCTTATTGCTTGAGAAATTAAAAAGCCATCCCAGGTTTCTGCTATTTTCATTGGTACTTTTCTTTTCTTTTGCGTTCTTCTTTTTTATCTTTTTTTTTTTTTTTTTTTTTTTNTTACAATTTCATTGATAAAACTCAGATTTTTCTCATTACAACCTTACTGTTCAGAATCAAAGTTTACATTTTCTCTTGTAGTTCGCATTCTTCGTGGGATCGACACCTCAGCTATACACAATAATCGTGTGTTAGTTTGAGCGTAATCACCGAGTATATGCTTTAATAAGAATCACACAAGAGTCGATTGATACAATAGAAACCTCTGGTAAAATGCCCGCCTATAACCCAACCGATAAAGTACATTACATAGTCCGTTTTAGGGATGGCGACTTACCCGTTCAGTGACTTTGGCACTAGATGTTCCCAAAATTGGTACTATTGGGTCCAGTGAAGTCAATAATAGATGCCTGTTGGCATTCCAACCTTCCTTCTCCTTTCAGGACCTATCCAAAAGAGAATCCAGTACTTCTTCATCTTGGTTGTGAATATCTAAATAGGGTAAGCTACCCCATGGATATCTTTCTTTTGGAACAAACGAATTTGAATTAGGCTCGGTCAACTGGAATGTGTATTATCCATGTAAGGGATCTTCCAATTGAGAAGATCCATCGACTTGAGAAGTTCCGGGAGTTATGAAGGAAACTTCGAGTTCATATGCGTCATGGGTTGAGAACGAGAATTGAACTCTATGAGATAGAATCTCCCGCTGTTCCTCAATAGCTTAATGGTAGAGCAGTCAGTTGTGAACTGCCTGGTCGTAGGTTTGAATCCTACTTGGGGAGATTTTTTTCTATTTTTCAATATCATCTCTTATTCATATTATTATTTAATTTCTTTTCATTTTAATTATTTATTATTTTATCATAAATTCATAATGGATTCCCGAAATGATGCATTCAGAGGATCATCCCCAAATGAGTTTTACGTTCCATCCACTGAAGAAATGGAAGGGTTCAATCCATTTTCACCATTTCCTCTAGAGGCAGCAGCTGCAATTCCACAACCAAATTCGGTAGGGACGAGGTGTAGCCAAACACATGCGAGCTACGAGTCAACGGGCACGGGCATGGCCCAACCCCCTCGACTGTCAAAGAGGGTCATGTTCGATGTATGGTGACATTTCACCAAATCAAAACGGCCAAAGACAAATGGGGAGGGGGAAGAATCGTGTGGGATATGTAATTTATGTGGAACCATTATTGGTGCTGAGAAGGGGACTTCGACGATGCGACGACACGTGGAAAAGAAGCACCCCTAAATAATGCAGTTGCCAGATACATCTTCAAACGGATCAGGTAGACAAATTCAAACTCAACTTAGTTTTATTCCACAATCCTCAACTCTCTCAACATGGCAATACAATGCACATGTTGCACGAGAGGAAATATCAAGATTCATAGTTGTTACAGACTCTCCCATTTGTTTATCTGAAAATCCTTATTTTATTCACATGTTTAAAACTGCATTTTGTCCAGCATATACCCCTGTTAGTAGAAGTACAAGTAGAAGAGATATACTAAAACTTTATAACAAAATAAATAATAAACTTAAAAACGAATTTCAAAATTTTAGGAATATATCTATTGCACTTACATCGGACATATGGGCTTGTAGATCAAAAACCGATTTTTTAACTGTCACAGTACATTTCTTAGATCATAATTAGGGTTTACAACAAAAATTGATGGGTTTTAAACCATTATATGAAAAACATAGTGCTGAACTATTTATTTTACAATTCTTAAAGTTTTGCAAGAATATGTATTAACTGATAGAGTTGTAGCGCTAACGCTTGATAATGCAGCTGCTAACATCGCGATAATCTTTTTATTTGAAAAGAGATTGGATCCGCATGGTGAAGGCAAATTTTTTCACTAGAGATGTGCTTGCCATATCATCAATTTGATAGTTAAAGCATGTTTAGATGCTATACATTTGAAGATGGAGAGGGTGCATGCGGCTATCAGATTTATCGTCGGTGGTAGCAATAAAAGATGGCAAGACTACGTCAAATATTGTAAGCAAGAGGACCCACTGGTTCAACCTTTGAAGTTATGTACGGACATGCCTATCCGTTGGAACTCCACCTACTTGATGTTGGAAAAAGCTTTGCCAACCGCGAAACAAATTACAAATTTCGTCAACCGGAAGCACTATCCAGAGGAAGTTGTTAGCTATGATGATTGGACGGTTTGTGAACTTTTTTATTCATTTCTTCAAATTTTTTATGATGCCACTAATACATTAAGTGGTATTTATTATCCGACTACTAATTTAGTGTTAGATATTTTACTTCAAATTGCTAAAAATTTTGCTAAATATAGATATAATAACGTTTTAAGGGAAATTGTTTTAAAGATGGAAGAAAAATATGAGAAATATTGGTTAGATATTCCATTCTTATATGGATTAGGCCTTGTTCTAGATCCTAGGTTTAAATTACGCATAGTTAACTATATAATTACTGAGTTAGGCTAGCATTTAGGATATGATTATACGTCTTATTTGACTAACTTTAAACAAAAATTGGATAGCTTTTTTTCTTTATATGAGAACAGGTACAATGGAAGTGGAAGTGGAACGTTCAGGAGAGAGGATCAGGACCTTGATGCAGCCCTCCGTCAAGGATCGAGCAAGTGGACGTATGTGGAACGTGGCTGAAGTAGCAGCTCCAACTCGTACATACATGGACCAAATAAGCTGAATCGCTACCTACAAGGGAACCTATCCTTTATGACGATGAAGGAGCAACATGACATGGATATTCTTCAATGGTGGAACCAACATAAAAGTCGATTCCCCATTGAACCCCAAATGGCACGTGACATTTTATCTGTGTCGGTTTCTACAATTGCATCCGAGTCAACATTTTCAACGAGTGGTCGGATTGTTGAAGACAAAAGATGTTCTTTAACCGATGAGATGATTGAAGTGATATCGTGTTTACGAGATTAGACTCATGCAGAAAGAAGACTACAATAACACCTTGAAGATCCCAACTACTCGAATTCTTTAGGAATACAGATTTGAATGATGTAAATATTGTTGACGATGAAGATGAATAATTTAAATAAAAAAAATTATTTAATTGTTTATTTGTGAAGCGTCAATGTGTGAAATGTGAATATTACATTTATGTTAAAAATTAAAATTAACTATTTATTAATTTGTTATTTTCTAAAATTAATTAAATTTTTAGAAACTTACTAATCTACCCCTGAAAAATACTAAAAACCCCTTATAAAAATTTATTTTGCCCCTAAAATATAAAAAAAGATCGGGGGGGGGAAGAAATTATCCAAGCCCATAGGACTGGTCCTGGGCCCATAGGACCAGTCCTAGGGAACGGTCTAGGTCCTAATATTGCTCACGGACGACTGGTCTCATTTGTGACCAGTCCCAAATGGGCCCAAGCTTGGGATTGGTCCTTGACCAGCTCTAGTTTCGAAATTGTGAGCCCAACACCTAGCCCGTTAAATTCTATTAATAAAAATTTGTCAAATATTGAAATGACATTTTTACCCTCAAGTTACAATTTTATAATCACCCAAAACTCATTATTTTCACATTCATCAAACAATATTTACAATATTTTGCTATTATCCAATAAACTTTATAAACATTTCTTATTTAATTCTTTAACCTCACCCAACTTTTCATCAAATCATGCCCTTTTTTCATCTAATCACCACATCCAGAGAAGAAGCTGAGAGCAAAGGAAGAAAGAAAGAAGGAAGAAGAAAGAGAAAACGAGGAAGAAAAAAAAAAAAAAAAGAGGATGGGGGAGGAATTATAAAATTTCAAAAAATTGGGTAAAAGAAAATTAAAAAGTTTTAAGTACCCTTGAAAACATTTGAAAATATCAATATAACCTTCAAAACGGTTATAACTTCAACGGAAAAACTTAAGAATGGCAAGCCTTGTAGTTAGAATTTAGTTTAGATACTTGCATTTATTTTTGGCAAACTTCATTAGCACATCTGGTTTCTAATTTTGTTGTGAATGCACAGGGCCTCTGCTTTTGAATTTAAACAGAGACATATCAGGGGAACTTTCCGGGGAACTTGGAAATGAAAAAAATTCAGTCTGAGGAAATGTCAAAAGAAGTCAACAATCTGTTGTGAAATTCGAGGAGTTGGGCTAATTAGAGAACAGTCAAAATTATTTGGTATCTCAATTGTTCGCAAAATCATGAGATAATCTTAAACATCAATACTAGACTTACAAAGTTGGAACCCTAATTAATATGATTTATTTTTCTATAGTTATATCAACAACCGTTATAATTGTGATTCCAACTTTGTATACATAACATAATTATTGAAAAAAAGAAATTCTTTATGTTCAAACTTTTTATACAAACTCTCTCATCATAAGCTTGAGTTTATTTCTCCCAAATTCAAAACCAAACTCAGTTTATAGGTCAGTTATGGCTCTGACCATGTCCAATATTCAGTATAAAATTAGAATTTTAAAGAAAAAAATGTGCCAATAAAGCTGTAAACAAGAACCATTAATTAGCGGGTTATTTACACGTTCATCCTTCAGGTTTAGAGTATATTAAATTTATTCAGTGGATCAATGGTTCAGAACTCGTGGCAAATAAAGCACTATTATGTTGGTAATGATTATCTAAACAACAAAGTTTTTGACAATATGCATACTAAACAAATACACCAAACAATCACTTACATGATGAATAATGTTATGCCTAAAAAATCATACTAATGTCAGCTCTATCTAAAAGACAAAGTGTATTAGTTGTCAAGCTTATATCTCTTTAAAGATATTTTATACCAGTCCTGTCTTATTTTAAGATAAGGATGAATGAGAGCTCTCCATGTGTTAAGACAACTTGCAAAAATACTTATTACATTGACCTCAAAGGTGTATAAATGGGCATCTCTCTTCATGAAAAAAGAGAGGCTAAGCATATGAGAGTTAGACAAATGAGAGCTTATTTTTTATAAATAAAATATTTCTCTTTGTATGTCTTAGGGTAATATCATAGAAATAGTCAGAGAATAACAAAATAATAGTAGATGTAGGATTTGCTTTAAGCATCCGAGCTACTTTAAAAATTTCTCTTGCCAATCTATTATTTATGTTTCTGCAAACATATATAATCTCGGCACTATAAACATTTTTGCATTTTTTATTTTCATGTAATTTTTAAGTCAGCTTAACACTTTATACATACGAATAATTGGTGTCAAAATTAAGCATCAACAAATATATGAAAGTACTCCTTGGATTTCTTCAAATTTGTCTTTCAAATACGTGATCCTTTTCTGATGATCAACATTTTAATGAGATATTAGGATACAATTAACCAAAAAAAAAAAAAAATGTTTAAAATTAATATTCAAAATTGATGGCTAAAAAGATTTTGGGAAGTTGACTTTGTGACTGTGATAGGGCTTGGGATAGGATCTGTTTATATGAGGAACAGAGACCTCCAAGAACAAGAGATAGAAAGATTAGTTGACAAAATTCTTTATTGATTCCCACAATCTAGATTTAGGCTATTATATCTATTGACTCCAAAAATAACTCTAATTATAAAGGGATAATAAGTGCCAAAAGGACTCTAATTATAAAGAGATAATAATATAATCTTAATTCTATCATAATAAGATAATAATATAATTATAAAAGATAATAATAAAAGACTTAACACACTTATCATAATTCTAAAACAATCCTAACATTGTCTTCCCATTTGCCTCAACCTTGTCCTCAAGGTTGCAAGGTACGACACCATCAACAACAATTATCCCGATTCATCCTCGTGCTCATCATCATCCTCCTTCATCAACAAGAGAAAGAACTTGGCCGTGCAGTGATGCCCAGGGTGAAAGCGCTCATCGCAATTATAGCACAAACCTTTGTTGCGTCGTTCTTGCATCTGTGTTGCTGTGAGTCGCTTAATAGGCAAGGAATCCGATTTGTTTGGAGTAGGCAAAAGGGCCTGCTGCACTAAAGGAACATTAGGAGTTGATTTACTAGGATCGCAAGATACGGGGTCGACAGAATGCAAGTATAGGTGTAGATCCTGCAGCTTGTCCTCTTATAAGCGGGCAAGACTCATGGCATGGTTGAGGGTGTGAGGCCGAAAGGACTGCACCTCCCTTCGGATTTCTGGTTTGAGCCTTGATACAAAGCAACTTAGAAGGAACATACCTGGAAGGCTAGAAACTTGATTAGAGAGTTCCTCAAATTCTGTTTGATAAGCGACTACAGAACCTGTTTGAGTAAGTTTCGCCAACTGCCCTTGGTAATCCACAAATTCTGAAGGCCCAAAACGAACATCTAAATCCTATAGGAAAGAATGCCAAGAACGGATCTGTAATATCCCACTTGAGGTACGTATTTAAGATTTGTTGTATTAGTTAAAAGTTTATTGTTTTAACTTAAATTGAGTTTGTATGTTGAGTTGGTTGAATTGTTGCCTTGAAATGGGTTGAGTTTTGGTGAAGTTGGAAATTTAAACTTCGCCGGGGCGAAGAAGAAACTTCGCCGCGGCGAGGAGGAGAAGTGGCATTACGGGTAGGTTCTGCCCTATTTCGCCGAGGCGACGAAAAATGCTTCGCCGCGGCGAAGAGCCTAAAACAAAGATTCTTGAGTTTTCTAGAGAATTCTTCTTTTGGGACACAATGACCATTCTACCCCTAATTAGTAGGAAAAGTGGGGAGTAAAATGAAAGGAAATTTAGTAGAGATTGTGTTTGTATGGGGGTGTAGTTGTAAAGAATCAAAGGATATAGATGGAATTTTCAAGAAAGGACAAGGGCAAAATGGGAAATGAAGCTTATTATATGAACTAAAAAGAGTAAAGTGTAGAGAAAGCCCTTACTCATCTTCATTCCACCGCCTCTTCCATTGCCCATATTCTCTCAATTTCTCCACCCAATTTTCCAAGAGTTCTAAGGGTTTTAAGAGGGGTTTTGAGTAGAGATTTCATCTAAAGCTTCCTAAGGTAAGAATTCATGCTTTAGATGTGAGTTTTCTTGTATTTATAGTGAGGTCTTATTGTGTTGTTGCTGCCCTTGTGGTTGTTTTGAGTTGTAGAGAAGAGACAAGTCCACAAAGGGAAGGAAAAGTGCTAAGGAAGCCATCTTTGCACAAGGTAAGTAAATCCAACCAAGTTGAGTTATGACTAAGCTTTGAGTAGAGACTTATTTTAATTATGTATGTACATGGTATACCTACTGAAAATTGAGATGAGATGTGTGCTTAGTCTTAGTAGTTGGGATTGATTAAATATGAGAAGTGTTGTTGATATGTGTATTGAGAATGGAGTTTGAGATGAAGTTTGAGAGATGTTGTGTAATCCTTTTTGGGAGTGCTTTTCTTGACAGGGATTATGAGTAATTGAGGGAGTTTTTCCCCAATTTGGATGGCTAGAAAAATGAAGTTTAGTAGTAATTTTCGTAGGGTGTTTATATGCACATGAGATGTTTGAGGAAATGCCTAAGTGAAATCTGCCCTGTCACTGCCGTAACTTTCTGAGTAATTTTTGAGTATCTTACGGTTCGAACTGGGCTGAGACCAAAACAGAGAAGTTGTAGCCCTGTTTCTAAGCTTTGAAACGAGACCAGAACCGTAGTAATCCGAGGTGTATAGCATAAGTTATGGCCGTTTTAGTGTGACTGGTGCAGAATGACTGTTTTGAGGAAATCTTGTAGTTGGCATTTCATTAGTGCATTAGGGAGCATGAGATAGCTCTACACCTTTGTTTATACACTTGAGAAGTAGCTTGAGATTTAGTATAGAATGTGAGTATAAGTTCTTTAAGAGTTAAGAGAAAGAGAATAGAGTAGGTTGTGCGATGGGGAACCCGTGAGTAATGGGTAGAGTATTCCCGCATGTACGCCGCATTGAGAGCGCGGCATGAGTATCAGATAGAGAAGTGGTGTAGCCCGTGAGAGTGCATGCGGATGAGGGCTATACCCGAGTACCCGAGAGAGAGAGATTATATACTCACATGGCCAAGGGTTCCGAATCCATGCATAACCGAGTCCGATCGGCTAGAATGAGTAGAGGTCACGTAGAGTGGGAGTGAGTCCCGGCCGTGCCCCCGGTGAGATGGGGTCGTGATTTATGAAAGAGTTATGAGAAAAGAGTTTCTAAGAGAAAGAGAAAGAGGAAAAGAAAGGCGTACCCAAAGAGTTATTTGAACGGGGAGTTGTAAGGAAAGAATTAGAGAAAGAGAGTTACGGGGCTAGTATGAGTAGAGGATTTACTTACTGAGCATTGTTTTAGTGCTCACCCCGTTGTTTTTCCCATGTTTTGCAGGACCTAGGTGAGGACACTGTCGGATGGATGTCGACGTGCGAGGAGGAGTGGCTACACTGTCCCTGATGTTTTTGATGACCTTTTGTATACCTTGTACATTTTGTGTAAAAATGTTTATGTTGTAAAAAAGTATGTATATATGTTTAATAAAAGAAAAGCTTGGGCCCAATTTCTTTATGTTATTTTATATGTATTTCATTATAATCTTTTGAGTAGTAGTAGTTATTACAGGATCTGCCCATTGGAATGCATCCAACAATACCAGGAGAGAGCTGGCCCATCCATGTGGAAGGAAGAGATCGTCAATCGTTGCTCAGTAGAGATATTATGGTAATCAAAGAATTGCTCGGCTTTAAACCTCCAGCCACGCGGATCCGTGTAATCAAAACGAGGGACTTCTAAACGGAAAGACTTGGGAAAAAAACTCTCAAAAGTCGATCCACGTTGCCCAGTCAAATCTAAAGATGATTCACCAGAATGTTGGTTTTGCTGGCAGGTTTGATCGAACTTGTTGTTCAGAGCTGAAATCTGTAAAGTAACATCTTGAAAACCAATTGTCAAAACTTCCAATTTCTCTGTTAAAGAAGTGAGAGTCTCTGCCTGGGTAGATTGTAGAGCCATAATTTTAGCAAGCTGCTCATCCAAAAGACGCAAGCGAGTGCCTTTAACCATAACTAGGGAACGAGAGCACCAATGATAGAGTTTGGGATAAGATATGTTTATATGAGGAACAGAGACCTCCAAGAACAGGAGATATAAAGATTAGTTGACGAAATTCTTTATTAATTCTCACAATCTAAATGTAGGCTATTATATATCCGTACACTTGACTCTTAAAAATACTCTAATTATAAAGGAATAATAAGTCCCAAAAAGACTCTAATTATAAAGAGATAATAAGAAAATCTTAATTTTATCATAATAAGATAATAATATAATTATAAAAATAATAATAAAAGACTTAATACACTTATCCTAATTCTAAAATAATCATAACAGACTGTCGGTTTCTCCGGCACATAATATGAGTTATAAGCATGCATAAGGACTTAGATAAGATTTCAGTCAACGCAATCTTGGTCTTTGTATGTTAGCTAGATATCCTCTTTCAGTCAACGTAGTCTTGGTCTTTGTATATTAGCTAAATATCCTCTAAGTAGTCTTGGTCTTTGAAACGTGATACAGCATCTCTGAAATGGAAACTAACTCACAATTCGTAGATTTCCGACCGTATCGTGAAAATGAAGAGATTTTAGGCACTGGAGAGACACAAAACTCTCGATATAGAAACCTACGGCCGAGAGTCTTCCTTTATGTGAATGATAGTGACCCTTTATGGAATTGGATTTTAATGGGTTTGTGTGTGATTGGAATTGCATTGGATCCTTTGTTCTTCTACACTCCCGTGATCGATGATGATAAAAAGTTCCTTGGATTGGACAAGAAGTTGGGGATCGTGGCTATTGCCCTACGTTCCTTCTTTGATGTCCTTCATCTGTTTTATATTATTTTGGAACTGCGTCCTCACTCTTTCGCTCCTTTTTTTATATATCAAAGAGTTAATTCAAATGATTACCCACAGGGAACTGCAAGGAAATATTTGATGCTTCCAATTGATCTTCTCTCCATTCTTCCACTCCCACAGGTAAGTTTTCGGATTTAATTACTTATTCTCCTAGCTAAATATATAATATTTGATATCGGTTATGACACTGAACTCGCTCAACTCTCTCCAGGTGGTGATTTTAACTGTCATTAGGGGATCGAAACTTCCAAATGTGATGAATTTGTTGAAAGTTTTTGTTATTGTCCAAAATGTGCCGAGGATTACTCGAATGTATCCTTTCTTTACAAAAGCTAGATCGAAGTCGGCCAAACTTGCTGAAACTACCTGGGTCAAAGCTCCCTTTAATCTTCTTCTTTATATGCTTGCCAGTCATGTAAGTTAAATTTATTTTATTTAATTTTCACGATTCACCTTGTAACTATCTCTTAATTTTAATATATATATATATATATATATATATATATATTTTAGTTTTTAACAAAATGATTTTTTGTTACCAAACATAACATAATATAAGAATAACACAGTGTAATGTTCTACCAAACATCATACAACATTTTGTACAGCATTATGTAATACAATACAATGTTATGCTATTCTATGTAATTTACTCAATGCTATACAATATCGCGTGCCAAAGATATCCAAATGTTAAAATATTAGAAACAAAACTTTAAGAAATCTGAGCAGTTTGGTTCACTATTTACAATAGCATTTTTAGAAAATAGAATTGTTGGAAAATAGGATAGGATTCTGATAAGTTTTTAGTACAATTCTAAATAGCATTTTCTGAAAATATTTAGATTATATGTTAACCCATTAGGTTTGTAAATTTAACTAAACACCCCCTACAAATAAAAGATTATAAATTGGCAAAAACACCCTACCCACCCACATATTGTCGGCAGCCGGCCACCACTGTCGGAAGGTGACTGAAATCCACCGGAATGGCGCATGACTGACTAGATCTGGCCAGTCGTGCGCTGATCTAGCATTTTCCGGCCAGATTCACCATCTGGTGATTCTGGTCGTTGATGGCCAAATCTACAGCCAAAGATCTGGCTGTTGACAATGGTCATATCTTGGCCGTTGTTGACGATAAAATGACGGCCAAAGATCTGGTGTCGTTGACGGCCAGATCTGGTCGTCAACGACCAGATATCTGGCTGTAGATCTAGCATTTTCAAGTCAGATCGATGCACGATCGGCTAGATCCAATTGGTCATACACTATTTCGATATATTCTGGCCACATTCTGATGGTGGTGGTCGGCTGCCGGCAATATGTGGGTGGGTGGAGGTGTTTTGATCAATTTATAAACTTTTATTATTGGGGGTGTTTAGTTAAATTAACAAATCTAGGGGTTAAAAATAATCAAAATATTTTGAGTTGGATAGAATAGGATTGGATTTTGAAAATATTAAAAGAAATGTATTTTTTGGTTTTTAGGATAGGATAGTGGAATATGATAGGATAATAATAGTGTCAAAAGGAGCCAAATTTCTCAACCATGCACATTGTTAGACTTCAAAAGAGAATATAATATAGAAGGTAGAACTTTTCACTGAAAATCTTGCGGGAGAGAAATTCTAAATTGGGATAAGGGTTTTGTTGTTATTCACTCAGCTCAATCGAGTCTGAGGTTTGTTTTTCTATTTATCCTCTTTATCAAAAAACTACAGGAAGACATCTGTAGTTATGTACTCATCACCTTATAAGTAGTAAATTAGCTGTACAAAAGACAAACATAATTTTATATAAAAGGCAAAAGAGGAAAACCAAACAAGTAATTGAGGGATTCTAAACAAGTTTGAGCAGATTTTCATAATCAGTTTGCTGCAGTTCATCATCAACTTGCTGGCGCCGTACATTATCAGATATTTAGTTAACTGAATACTAGGAGTTAGAATACTCGTTTTTTCACAATGAGCTCTAGATTAAGCTTCACTGAATCCCTTGATCAATTCTTAGCCAATAGCTAGTATATCATTAGCTCTCTCTATTTTACACATGAAGACTTGAAAGCCTGTTTAAACTTGGATAAAGGGTTTATAATAATTAGAAAATCAAATATGTCTTCTAGGTTGGCTTTCAATATTGCTATTGAATTTGATATTGGCTAAGATGTGTTAATTGTATAGCTTAGTTGACATGGCTAAGACGTGGCTGTTTCTTCTATCATAGCAAGTATAGGATCAATTTTATCTGTAATTTCAGCCTAGGAACGCATACAAAGTTCACAAAGAAAGAGACCGAAATTGTTGCTAGAAACTGACGAGATTTCTGGAATTTTTTCTGCATTAGCAGGGGATAAGAACAGAGTAATAAACAAAATGCAGACACATTGCTTGATCGTTGCATTTAAGTTGTAATCAAATTTATTAGTTTAACCGACTTGTTCTACTATTGATACCTCATTGGATGAAGTTGTGGCATGGAAGGTTATGATTTAGTTTATGATCATTATCAATTTTAAGCTTAACTAACTTGCTTGTTTCTAACACATTATCTGATCAAAGTTAGCTTGCAAGCTGGTCTATTAGGTATTTGGAGCCTTGTGGTACTTTGCCATAGAAAAAGAGACTGCATGCTGGAAGACGGCCTGTGTAGATTATTTTGGATGTGGTCATGGTTCTTTTAACTTTGACGACAATTTAGGAGACTACAAATTTCTACATGAGTTTTGCTCTACAAAAACACAAAATGCAAATACTTATGACTTCGGAATATACAGTTATGCTCGAGACTGGCATCGTGAACGCGAGGAATTTTCTGCAAAAGTTTTTACTTTGTTTTCGATGGGGCTTGCAAAATCCAAGGTTCGTACAATAAGTACTTCTTTAAAAGTAATGATTCCTGAAAATTTTTATGATTACGTGGGAAATAATCTGGTGAGATAGCGGGTTCAGTTGATGTTGGGGATGGAATAGTTATCGGATGGTATGACTTAGGATATCATATCTTTGAAAGTAAAGATTGTCATTTTCGAAACAACTGGTAGATGAAACTGTCAGAGCTGATGTTCCTTTAAGAAGGCAAATTCGAAGTATTGTGGTTCACAAGTTGGCATAACCTGAGTTCTATTGGTGGTGAACGACCGAATGGAGTGAGTTATAGAGATCCTGCTCTTTAGTGTGAAAAGTAATTTAAAGTGAGAGGTTTCTTAATGAATTCTAAAATAAGATACCAAGCACGTGGATATTGATTTGTTAAAAATTTAATTTAATTTCTTGTGTGCAGTTGTTTTGGTCAGAACCTGCAGACAAGTAGCTCTATGGAGGAAAACGTCTTTGCAATTGTGATTACCATCTTTGGTTTGGTGTTGTTTCTCTTTCTCATTGGAAATATGCAGGTAATTTGCTAAATATCTTCTTATTTATTATCAATTCGATTCATTTTTATGCGCTTTAAGTATTCAGACGAAAAACAATTATATAAATTTCAATTTCTATGATGGTGTCAATTTCTTGTTAAATAGATATATCTACAGTCCAAAACAGTAAGATCAGAGGAAATGAGATTGAAGGCACGAGAGATAGAGCAGTGGATGTCCTTCCGAAAGCTCTCTGGGAAGCTCTCTGGGAAGCTCCAACAACAAGTGAAAAAATACCAGCAATATGTATGGCGAGAAACCAAGGGTATTGATGTAGAAAATTTGCTTAATAATCTTCCCAAGGACCTCAGAAGGAACATAATGCGCGAACTCTGCTTAGACCTCCTCAAGAAAGTGAGTTCTCTTTCTTTCATAATGCTTACTATTCCTGCAGTAGTCAGAATTTTATTGCTAATTTTTACTAAATTTTTCCTTTTTTCTTTTTTTTTTTTTTTTTTGGATGTATTCAAGGTTCCCATGTTTGAAAAACTAGACGAACAACATTTGGATACAATGTGCGACCGTCTCAAGCCTGTGTTTTACTCTGAGGAAAGCGACATTATTCGGGAAGGTGATCCTGTAGATCAAATGCTCATCATCATGCGAGGGAAGCTATTGACAAGGCAAGGTATAGTTCGCACTCACTATCTTAAGGATAGTGATTTCCTTGGAGAAGAAGTTTTCTTGTGGGCTCTGAATCCTCAATCCTCAGTTAGTTACCTCCCCATTTCAACAACAACTGTTAAAGCCCTTACGGAAGTTGAAGCCTTTGCTCTAATGGCCGATGACTTGAAGTTTGTTGCCTCTCAGTTAAGGCGGATTAACAGTGCACAACTCGTACACACGTACAAATTTTACTCAAATCAGTGGAGGAATTGGGCGGCTTGTTTCATACAAGCTTCTTGGCGCAGCTATGCTAAAAAGAAGCGCGAAGAATATCAGCGCGCAGAAGAAAATAGGTTGCAAAATTCATGGGCGGGGGCTGCTGGGGTTTCGCCAAATTTTGGAGCAACTATTTATGCCACACGATTTGCTGCTAATGTAGTTCGTACTAGAAGGCGGAACAATAAGGCAAAGAAGGCAGAAGGGAAAACAGCCACGCTGCTTCAGAAGCCACCAGAGCCTGAGTTTTCTTCTGAAAATCAGGAGTGAACTTGCTTCAGTGTTATATATCTGTTCAAGTCATCAATGGACATCAAACTTTGAAGGGAATGCTTTTTTTGTTTTGCTTTTTTATCATTTTAGTGATTGTTTTGTGCTAATTTAATTCTACCAAAAAAGTTTTCTTGGTCATAGGTTCTCGACAAATTGAAGAATGGTAAGCCTATTAGCTATAATTTAGTTCAGCTACTCGCTATTTTTTTTTTTTTTTTTTTTTTTTTTTTTTTTTTTTTTTTTGGCTAACTTCATTGGCACATCTGGTTTCTAATTTTGCGTGAATGCATAGGGACGTTGCCACGGCCTGAACTTTTAACTGATAATTTTCAAACAGGTCTCTGGTCTTGAATTTAAACAGAGGTACAACAGGGGGACTTTTCAGGGAACTTAGAAATGAAAGAAGTTTCAGGGAAAAGTTTCCAGGAAACTTGAAATGAAAAAATTTGAGTCTCAGGAACTATCCGAAGAAGTTAACAATCTGCTGGTGAAGTTCAAGGAGATGGGAGAATTATATTGTTTACAGGATGCAAGTACCAAGAATTCTACGACTGTGTATGTGCCCCTTATGTAAATCTAATTTGCACAAATAAACATATTCACTGTTGCCAAGGGTTACCAGGATTTTCATATAGTTTCAGATGTATGGAAATATAGTATGTTGAAAATTCTAGAATGTGAAGTCTGGATTTCTGTTTAATGGCACCATAAATGTAAAAAGATAAATTTTAATAGATTTGGATAAGTAAAAGTTTTACTGAAATTTTATCTTTTAATTAATATTTAGATGCAAATAAATATGATGCAGATTAAAATTTATCTTTTAATTAATATTTACACTACAAGTTCGGATTAGAGAAAGACTCTCTATATCGTGTATATTAAATAAATTTTATAATCCCAACAATCTATTTCACTAATATCTAATACTAACATTTGAATTCATTTTTTTGCAGTAGTTTTTGTCAGAACATCGGAGAAGTTTCTTCATTCTTGGGAATCATATTTGTAATTTGTTGTAAATCGAGTCTACCAAATTAAGATTTAATACTAACATACAACCACAAATCAAAGCAAGAATAACAATACATACATCTTTTACCATGGTTCACTTGTTTAAAATTGAACAAACTACATTCACATTGAGCTCTAGAATATGGAGGTTCGCTGCACTATTATTACCACGGAATCACATAGTACAAACTCGATCACACACCCAACACTCACTCTCAAACACCTCAATCTTTCTACCCCTGTTACCGTAAATCTACAACCCTTTAGAGAAATATATTCCTGCTTCTCTACCCTCAAAAGAAACACAAACTTTCAAGTAGATTTCCAGATTTATACAAGAGATCAAAAAAATTAAGAACCCTAGTAAAGAGAAATTACAAAGATTGAACTGTGCAAATTTGGGTGAACTGCTACTTTTATACCGTTGACCATCAGGGGTGATTTCAGCCAAGAGATCAAAAAAATTAAAAACCCTAGTAAAGAGAAATTACAAAGACTGAACTGTGCAAATTTGGGTGAACTGCTACTTTTATACCGTTGACCAGCAGGGGTGATTTCAGCCATTGGATTAGACACAAATCAAGGGCTAGGATTGCAAAGGGGATAGCTCAAAAAAGCAGCGTGTTGCTAAAGCTCAAAACGACACCGTTGTAGGCTTCATATATTAACAATCTCCAGCTTGAAGCCTACATCACTCCAGGCAGCAAATCATCAATGCTGCAAGCTTCTCACATACTCCTTCTCAGCTCTATTGGATCAATTGATGTGTAACAGGTTTAAGCAATACTTTAACTTTGCATGGGTCACTACTTTGGTTCCCATGTCGGCTGGATTCTCTTTAGTTGGAATTTTCATTAGATTTAGTTGCCCTTTTGAGATTAGCTCTTAGACAAAGTGGCACTCCACATCCACGTGCTTCGTCCTCTCATGGTATACTAGGCTTTAGCTCAAGTGGATGGCATTTTAACTATCAGAATGTATAGTCACAAGTCCATCCAGCAAATTTGCTTCTTTTAAGATCCCTTGCAGCCATATTGCTTCCTTATATTGCTTCCTTAAATGAGTTAGTCATTGCTACATACTCTGCTTCTATTGTGGACAGTGCAACCAGCGGTTGCAATTGTGATTTCCAACTGATACAGTTGCCTCCTAGGGTGAAGTAATAGGCTGTTGTAGACTTCCTTGAGTCTCGTTCAACTGTAAAGTTAGAGTCTACATACCTAACCAAATTAAGTGAAGTGTTTCTCTTGTAAAAATCTAATCCAACATGCATAGTACTATTTATGTACCTAAGTAGCCATTTTAAAGCAACCTAATGTTCTATTCCTGGATTTGACATAAACCTACTTAACAATGATATGGCAAATGACAAATCAAGTATAGTTTTTATCATGGTATACATCACAGAACCTATAGCATTTGAGTATGAAATATTTTCCATTTTTAACACTTTAGCTTCTGTTTTAGGACACTACAGTTTACTTAAGACAAAGTGACCTGCTAAAGGCATGTTAACAGTTTTTGAGTTAGCCATTCCAAATCTAGAAGTAAGTTTTTGTAAGTATGGCAATTGGTGAAGCTTTAGCCTATTTAGCCTCATGTTTCTATCAATTATCATCCTTAATATCTACTTTGCACAACCTAAATCTTTCATTTCAAACTTAGCACTTAATTTTGCTTTCGAGTCATCTATGTGAGGCTTGGATTTACATATTAATAGCATGTCATCAACATACAAAAGTAGGTATATGGGCATGTTATTAATGCAAGCAAAATAGAAACATTTGTAATACTCACTCCTAGTAAAGCCGACTCCTACTATGAATGAGTCGAATCTCTTATACCACTGCCTAGGGGATTGTTTAAGACCATAAAGAGACTTATGCAACAAGCAAACATGTTCAAGTAGGTTTTTATTCTTAAAACCAATAGGTTGAATCATAAAATCTTTTCTTCTAATTCACCATGCAAAAAAGCAGTTTTAACATCCAATTGTTCTAATTCTAAATCATAATGTGCAACAATTGACAACATTAACCTAATAGTTTTAAATTTAACTACAGGTGAAAAGATTTCATTTCAATACCTGCCCTTTGTGTGAATCCCTTCGCTACAAGTCTGGCTTTGTATCTTGGAGGGTCTGACATGTTTATGCCTTCCTTCAACTTGTAGAGACATTTGCACTCCACCAATTTCTGGTCTATTGGTTTTGGGACCAAGGACCAGGTCTTATTCAGTTTCAATGACTTCATTTCCTCCTCCATGGCAGCAAGCCATTTATTGATGTTCTTGGAGCTCATTGCCTCTTCATAGGAGTCAGGCTTAGACCTTTGGATTTCTACACTAGTAACCAATGTTGTGTAGATCAGGTCTGCATAACTGAATCTGGTAGGAAGACTGATCTCTCTCTTGCCAACTGGTATTGGGCTAGGTTATCATGTTGGGCTTTTTCAATATTTTTCGTCAATTCCCATTTCATCATATTAGTCTTCATTGATTTGCAGTGGTTCATCTGCTGGTTCAGTCCCTTTAGATTGATCAGGGTGCTCAGAAAACTTGCTAGCTCCACCTCAAACTGAGTAATCTCAGCTTGATCAGGATTTTCAAAGTCACTTCTTGAACTACCTGCATTGCTGTTAGTAAACTTGCAAGGAAACACATTCTTATTAAAAATTACATTACAACTGATTATGACTGTAATCCCTTGGGCATCATTTTCCATAGTCTATAGCCTTTGGTCTCTTCTTGGTATCCTAAAAATACACATTTTAAGGACCTAGGCTCTAATTTCCCATCTTGGGTATGTGCATAAGCAGCACACCCAAACACTTTTAGGTGGCTAAGAGTTGGTCTCTTCCCTAACCATCTCTCTTTTGGACACTTAAACTTTATTGAGCTTGAGAGACTCCTATTGTTAAGATAGGCAGCAGTTGTTAGGGCTTTCCCCCAAAAAGTTTTTGTCAGTTCAGCTGTGAATAAGAGGCATCTCACCCTCTCTAAAAGTGTTCTATTCATTCTCTCTACAACCCTATTTTTCTGTGGGGTTCCCCTGACTGTCCTATGTCTTAAGATCCCCTGATTGCTATAGTATATGTCAAACTCAGAGTTACAAAACTCCAACCTATTATCAGTCCTAAGGGCCTTAACCTTTCTATCTACTTGGTTTTCCACAAAGTTGTCCAGCCTTTAAACTTGGTTAAGGTTTCATCCTTAGTCTTAAGAAGGTATAATCATACCATCTTACTATAATCATTTACAATGGAGAGGAAGTAACTGTTCCCTCCATGTGACTCAACCCTTTCAGGACCCCAAAGATCCACATGCAAATAATCCAAACAATTAGCAGCAATGTGAGTTCCTTTTGGGAAACTCATCATGTGCTGTTTACCCAAGACAAAGGTTTCATAGAATCTTAAATTAGACACGGAATCATTACCAAAATAACCCTACTGTCTAAGTGCATTCATACCATTCTGGCCTATATGGCCCATTCTCAAGTATCATTTCTCTGGAGCTGACACGTTAGTGGATAGGAGTGCAATATTAAAAGCATCAGGGTAATATTGACTACACAAAATATACAAGCCATTCTTTTTAACACCTTTAAGTAGAATATTACCATTTTTATACACTTCTATACACCCATTCTGGGTCCTATGGCAACAACAAGCTTAATCCAATGTTCCTAATGAGATCACGTTTCGCTTCAGTTCAGGTATATACCTAACCCTAGTTAGCAATACCACCTTACCATCGTTTAGTCTAATGATTATATCACCTATGCCTTAGACCTCACAAGAATGTTATTTTCCATGAACATTATTTCTTGTTCACCAATTTTAAGTCTTTGGAACCAGTTTTTGTTTGGACTCATGTGGAAAGTACATCCAAAATCTAACACCCACTCTTTAACACTAGCAGTATTAGAGACAGTAAGTGCTTTAGAGATTTCAATGTTATTGTTTATACATGCTAGGCTACTCTTAGTATTGACCTATTTCTATTTTTAATCCATTCATAACAATTCTTTTTAAGATGTCTTGGGTTGTTACAAAAGAAGCACTTCCTAGTTTTTTCCTTAAGTTTCCCATTTCCCTTACCTTTCTTGCTAATTTTAGAGCCTAAATTGTTTTGAGAACATTTTCCAACTTCACTTACCAAACTGACCAAAATCTATCTTACCTTTTACAAACAGATTAATACCATTCCTTTCTTGGATTTTCAATTTTAGTTCCGTAGATTTTAGCCCAGAAACTATCAAGTCCAGACTAGGGATAGTCCCACTGTACTGTAACACATTCTTTACTACTAAATACTCTTCAGGCAAAGAATTGAACTGAATCATAACAAGACTAGAGTCTCCTAGTTCCTGGTTAGTACCATTCAGTGTTAGGGTCATCTTTAGAAAGTCATCTAAGTTTTCATCTAAAGACTTACCTAAATCCATTTTATAGGAAAACAAGGCACTTTTAAAAAAAGCTAAATTAGGAGCTGATTGAAAAGCATATAATAATTCGAGTTTACCCCAGAAAGCGATTAGAGATTCCAGACCATCTACCTTTCACAGTATGTTGTTGGATAAGTTCATGATGATCAAATTATAAGCTTCTTCTTCTACCTCTGCTTTCTTCTTTAGCTTTTCTTCAGACCATTTAATGGCGTCCTTCTCCAAAGCAATACCTACCTTATTGTTGGACAGAA